CCTTCAGAAGCTTCACAGCTGAGTTATATAACCACCCATCCATCCTTGTGATATAGGCTGTTCAACCTAGGCCAATGCAGGGGTGGGGAGGGTGGGAGCAGTCCTTAATGGGATGGCTAGTTGAAGGCATTAAAGATACATGGTTGTCACCAAGGGAGACTAACATGATTAGCAGGGGCTGAAGAACTATAAAGGAAGGGCAGGCATTACTGAGAGAACTAGGTATGAGAAAAGCAATATATGATGCCTCATTCACTGGGCCAGATGAGATTCTGTTCACCAGAGATATGAAGGAAAGCTTAATTCAACTGGGACCTTGAGAATGGTATGGGGCTTTAATGGTTTTACTAAGCCCTTTAATGGGACAGGATCTTTCTGAAGTGAGCCAGTTTTTGGCAAATCTAAATGATTCTGAGCAGCATGTAAAACGTGTCTGTAAAATAACAGAACACCCTATAAGAGATATAAAAAAGACCAGACTGAAGAAATGGTCCACTTGGGTTACTCAATGACAAATGTGGCAAGACTTATGTCAAGCCAAAATTCTCAGAGAAAAAATTGATAGAAAACCAAATTCGGTACTAAGGCATTTCTGGAAGGCTTTAAAACCAGAATAACAGTTTACAAAAGACATTCAAAGGATAAAAACTGTCCCGGGGGTGGTTAAGAATTCTCAAGGATTAAATAAGATGCATTTCTCTTCTGATAAAGGCTACACTAGGGGTGAAAGCAGGTTTGTCCACCAAGTTCTCCCTCAGCAACCTGGTGTGGTCAGTGGGGAGATGACAGATATGGCTACAGTCAGGAGGCAGACCCAGGGCCTGCCTGACACAGGGAACCAAAAAGTGCAGTAGGGACAGGAGAAACCCCCTGCCTCCTTAGCCCACTGCAGAGTCAGGCAACTGGAGCCAACACCTGTAAGTATATCAAGAATAAAAGAATACAAAGAGACTCCATGTAGAATCCTCCATGTGTGAAATGACTCTAAAGGGATAACTAAAGATGATAAAAAGCTAACCAAATTAATGCCTCATACCCATGCTATGGTACCTAACAAAAAATCTATGGAGAAAACACTTAATACGAATGGACAAAACCTTTCCATGCTGTGTGAGACCTTGTCTATGATTGATTTGGTATATAACATTAACCTTCCTTCAAGTGTTTTACAGATGTGAAACCCATTTGAAAGATACCTGAAGAAGCAAAGGCCAGCTATAGCTGTAAGATTCTTGAAGAGTTTTATGATTGGGTAAGAAAGGAAGAGACTCCCAAACTATACAACTGTTAAGAAAATTTACAGTATCAGGGGTGCATTGCCCCCCTATGAGCTGTTCATCAGAGAGATCCTAGAGGTCTTCAAATTCACCAAGGCTATTGCCATTAATGTTGGCTGTACACTAGAAAGGTTGGTAAGGCCATATTGCTGAAGACACTGTGTGTTGTGAGCATGGGAGAAGAAGAGGAGATGGAGTTGAGAATAAACCAAAAAACTCCATGCCACTGGAAGGATAATATTCACATTGTGTAAAAGCACTATGCAGGTGGTTGGGGAAGAAAATATGCCCTATGATTTTACTCAACAATGGACCCCACATGCTGTACACTATGGACATTCCAAGCAATGCCTTCAAGTGCAATAATGGCTTGACCAACATACATACAACTAACAAATTTCTAATCAGATAAGGCCCACTCCTAGGGGTAGAACACACATCTGGTGCTGTAGACCAGGCCAATGCCTTGTGTCAAGAAAGGCTACAGGCCCTAATGGGGAAGCCATCACAAGTGTATTGTTTAATGAATATAATACACCTACTGAGATATCTTCTAGGCATTTGTATTTACATTCATGCTTGTTTAAATGTTTCTACTTCCTTCCATTTGTCTTTATAGTAGAAGAAACACCACTGAGATAGTTCAATGGCCACAGCTTAAAGACAAATAATGGGAAGGTTCAAGAAGTCACTATCTTGCCATGATATAAGAGAGACTGCCCTACATCTATCACCCCCTCCAAGGCTCAGGGACTTTAGCGAAAGATTGGCAGAAAGATTGTAAGGGAAGAGGAAAGGGGTGGAGTGTGTTCCCCAGGGGTCCTGGTTCCTCCAAGGGGCAGGGCCTACTGTAGAGAGTTGACTGTGGAGAGTTAGCCGTGGAAGGTGGGGCTTGTGGCACCATCTTGGAATAGAAGCTGATACCAACATGGCAAACAAATCTGAAAAACAGAACAAAATTACTTAACGCATGGGCACTTAAGACAGATCACAATGTTTAAGGTTCAAGTTTAGGTTAAAGAATTGACAAGAATTGGTAGAGTTGATGAATCAGCAAACAAACAGTTGCAAGTGTAGACACTGACTAACATGTGCAAGGTTCCCCGCTGCCAACATTGTTCCTTACTGAGAGGCATCAAAACCAGGAAACAAAAAGTGCTAAAAGAATCCCAAGCAAACGAAGCTGTAAGCCATACCAGGTTGACTTTAAAATCTACTATAAATTATTTGTAATTAATCTACAAGGCATAAAAGTACAAATGGAACATGGTAAGAAGTTCAGAAATTTTCACTCAAATCTATGTATGTATTGTTAATTAAATCTTGACAAGGTACTAGGAACACAATGGGGAAGAACAGTCTTTTCAATTCATGGTATTGGGAAAACTGGTAGTACAAACATGCACAAAACTGGACCCTTCTCACATCCAGTATTTATGATTCAGGTTAAACTAGAGGCTTAAAAATATGAGATCTGTACCCAGTCACAATTAGTACATCTACAATGTAACCCCTACACCTAAGGTTCAGGGAACATTACTGAAGAGGAGGAGGAGGAGGAAAGTTTGTAAAAGCCGAAGGACCAGGACTGCTGCCAGCAAGTGTCTTCTAGACATGACAGGGATGCTGCACTCATGAAATCTCAACAATATGATTGCTTAAAGAAGACCTGCATAATGATACCTGTGGACATGCCAACACTGATGGGGGAGTTTTCACAAGGCCCCACTCTTAAATGAAGAGATGAAGGTGATCAATGGGTCCTGAAAGAGGGAAATCAGTTTTTTCCAGAGAGGAGCTCCCTGATATAGGTTATCCCATCCAAAGTGGTCAGTCCTAAACACATATACGTATGAGCAACAGTAATTGGACTGAGTAGGTTGTAAACACACACACACACACACACACACACACACCCCACACCAGACACACATGCACACCCCCCACGTGTGTATATACAACAATAACTATAGAAGAAGTAATAAATCAGAGAGGGACTAGGGGCAGGAATGGAGAAGTTGGAGGGGGAAATGGATGGGCGGAAATGATATAAACGCTGTCTACTCATGTATGAAATTCTTTAAAAAAACACCAAGATTATTTTTAAATGTAAGATCTGAAACTGCAGAAGTATTGTAAGAAAATGGGAAAGTTACACAGCATTGAACTGTGTAACAGTTTCTTAGATATGATCCTAAAGCGAAAACAGACTGGTGTGAATGCATCATCCTTCAGATACTAAGAGACAGTGTTTGAAAATTATAAATTTGATGAAGGTTGATATCCAAAATATACAAGAAGTCTAGTAACGCAATAGTAAAAGAAATATCCCCATTTTTAAAATGAGCAAAGATGCTGAATAGACATTTCTTAACACACACACACACACACACACGGCTAGTAGGTATATGAAGAAATGATCAGCATCACTAATCATTGGGGAAATAGAGATTAAAATTGAAGTGGGGCATCACCTGTTAGAATAACTATTATGTAGAAGAAAAAAGATACAGAATGCTGGTGAGGATGGAGAGAAAAGGGAACCTGTACTGTGGGAATGTGAACTAATATAGTCATTTTGGAAAACAGTACGGGGGATCCTTGAGAAGCTAAAATAGAAATTCCATATCATCTAGACATTCTGTTTCTGGGCAATAGCCGAAGTTAGTGCAACTGAAGAAGTATCTGTGTTCCACTGAGTTAGGGCATGGCTCTAAGTCTACTGATGCTTAGGAAATACCCATTACCACTTTTGCAAAAGCGGTTGATCTCTAAGAAATGCATGGGTCCCAGAGTGTCTTTAATGCCATTTTTTTTTCTTTGTTGTCTATTATAGTTTCACTCTGCCATAGGACAAAGAACATGAACTCTGAACTTAATACCAAACATAATCTCACTTTTACATGTTGAACTATATCCACTTTCCCTTGTCAGAAGTGGAAAACTGCCAAAGATACTATTTCTTTCTTCCAGTTCTTGCTATTCCTTGAGATCAAGATCCATCAGAAATAGGGAAAAATCATTACATAACTTAAAGCAAGATATAATGTCCTAAGAAGCCAACATTTACTTTAGGTAATCCTCAATTCATACAACTGAAAGCTACTTAAGTTTCTTATTTCTGATTCTTATCCTTAGCCAAAAATCTTTTCAATAAGTTATTTTCACTGTCCATTTCAATGCAGACATTAATTTTAATAGTACAATGTGTCTTTGACACTATTCGTCTAAATTTATCTTAATCCCATAATCTCAATATGTCTTATCATCGATCATTTTGAAGTTAGTCAACACCATAATCCTTCTGTTTGCTCAGCTACAGAACTCTGTAATATGAACAATCAGGGAGTGGCACTGTGGCTTTTTTTCAGAAGCAACACAGAATTCCTAACCTGTGAGAACTGCAGATTTCAAACAAGTAGCGTGAAGTCAAGAGAGCAAGAGCTTGTATCGTCTCAGAATCCTAGAGTCATTTGCAGAAGAGATCATTTTCTGCGTGTCACTTTTGAGGGAGCAAGTATTTGTTTTCTTTTTCTTCACCTAATATAAATTGTGTAGTAACAGTTTGACATTTTCTAAGAAGATAAATAATTATTAATTTATATAATCGACATCGACTAGAAGCATAATATTAAATTAGCAGAAGCACAGCATTTCTTCACCCTAATTCACACAGTTGGTACAGCCATTCTTGGAGAAGCATTTGAGACCCTCACCCTCAGAATGGTTAGAAAGCAGCAGCAGTACACTCTGAATGTTGAACAAAACACAACGGAACAGGTGAGTATTACAAATAACTTTTAATGTCTTTCAAGTCTAATAGTCTTGCTTTCAACATTTAAACTTCTAAAGAAATGAAATTAAAAAAATTTTTTGCTATTGCATAATGAATGGAATCTATATATTAATATCAGGGGATTGTTCAGTATGCCAGATAGTGTTTCTGTATTCCTGAGAACCTGGGAATTAGACTTGATGCCTGTATTTTGGGGTTTATATAAAAACCTAGGATAAGTAGCAATACAAAATAACTTTTATAGATGATATGGAATGCCATGTTAATAGCAAATATATCAATATTATAGATATTTCTACACAGTTTAGTTTAGTCCATTGAAAATACTTATTATCAGTGCTTCTTCCCACAAAAATGTGGTCAACTTATAACCAAAAATAATTATAGAAAAGGTCTCACTGTGGGGAGACATGCTTATCATATGTGACTCTACCAATGTACAAATCATGCATTTTTTTATACTCATGTAAACAAACCTGTAGTTTTTCCATTCCTCATGCAATTTAGTTTCCTCATTTTGCAAATGAAGTTCTTGAAATGTTTATGATTGCATGTAGTCTGTGTCAGAGTCAGAAACTGAATTCATCTTCATATATATATTCCTTTATAAGAAACTAAAGGGCTGGAGAGATGGCTCAGAAATTAAGGGCACTGGATCCTCTTGCAGAAGACCTGGGTTCAATTCCCAGCACCCACATGATGTCTAATAACCATCCTTAACTCCAGTTCCAGGGGAATCTGATTCTCTCTTCTGAACTCTGCAGGCATTGCATGGCATTGGTGCACCTACATACATGCGGGCAGTACATTCATATACATAAAATAAAATAAAATTAATTTTAAAAAAGAAAGCACTTCAAAAATTCAAACTTTTATTTCCCTGAAACAGAGAAATGAATTCCATGATCAACTAGAAGTTATAGACAAAATAAAGACAAAGTTAGGTTTGATAGAAATCTATTTTGTAACTTGAAGCTTGCAAGTGAGACCAGTTTGGGGTTCAAAAACTAGACTCATAAACTTAATTTATATTTGCCCGAGATTCCAAGAAAGCTGCCAAATGTCATTGCTTTGTCCTCACATGAACAACATTTTATTTATTTCCCCATAATATGCAGAATGTGATTTATGGTGTTTCCCCACCGTAAGAAAAAAATCATGCAACTTGGTCAGTTAAGTAAAGTAGTTGAATATGCTAAAAAAAAAAAGCTAACTGAACAAACTTCTGAGATTGTGAAAAGAGTGATTAGAATTTACTATTTTTTCATTATTCTGACAGACAACCTAAACTGTCTTTTGGCACTGAAACCTGAAGCATAAGGGACTTGTTCTGAAAAATTATTATGTACTATTTACTTTAGGAAAAAATTTAAAATCAATAAAAAAATTAAAATCCTACCCATGACCCTATCTAGATAAAAATCACTGCTAAAATTTTCTGTTAGTCTATCTGAATTTTTCCAGTTCATTAATTTTGTCACATGAAATCATTAGCAAACAACCTAAGCATTTCCTCCAAAAATTCTATAAAATTACCTGTTGTAATTCAGGGATTTACAGGTTATTCTATCATTCAAACTTTTAATGAAAAGGCATTTATTAAAGTTGCCTATTTGTTCCTCAGCCAAGTTTTATAGCTTTCTTTATGTAGCTACTATATGCTCAGTAATTTTAAGTGCTTTATTACTACAGTTAATAATAATACATAATATAACAAACCCCACAGAAAGCAATAGTTGTTACGTATGTTTTCCGTATTTTATGACTGGTAAACTTATTGAGTTATTACTTTGATAGATTATGTGGTTGATAATTCAGGACTCTGTTGATAAGCTATTCTACAAACAATGGTAAGTTTTTTTCTTACATTTTCAGTATTTGTATGTACTGACTAGAATTTTCAGAAAACCCTTTTCCATGTCTCTTTCCTCTATGGTAGCAGCTTTGGTGTTTCACTGTTAAACCATGCTGGTCATTAATTTGAGGTAAACATTTTCTGTCACATTTAGGCATTGCTCTTTTATTTTTAGCTTTTGAAGGCTTGTTTTGCTTATCTCCGTTGCTCAGGACTGGATGCTGAAACTTGCTGAATAATATTTGGGCATCTGTTAACATGATCATCTTATTTTCCTCTTTTGATCATTTACTGTGAAGAATGTCCTTGTATATGTCATACTGCTCAGTCATTAGTGTAGTTTCAGTTTCTCACAGAACTTGGTTTTTTCTTCATTTGATTCATGCCGGATTCATATTATTTTATATGCTTATGTTTCCAAATGATATAAACTTTCATCATTCTAAAAACCTAATATTCTATTTACATATTTACTTTTCTGGCTGTTTTTATAGTTATTAAGAAGTCCATACTGTTCAAATGAAGGATTACACTGTGGTTGTAGAGCACACCATCTGACATGCCAGCCACAACAGGTAGGGTTTGGGGGAGGAGGTGAGACAAATCAGTTCCCTCCAACAGAAGAGTCAGGCCCTTCTCCTCTAGCACCTCTGCAGGGCTCCTGGGACATAAGGTCCCTTACAGAGCGCCGGTGCTGGACTGTCTTTAAGATCCTACAGATCAGAGCTCTCTTACTTTCTATTTGTGTGTATTTCAAACAATGAATGAAACTCCTTGTATTTGTGATGAATGAGTAAAATATATTTAATAAATATTTTTATAAAAAATGTTGATATGTAATGTGAAACTTAGAAATAAACAAGCTGGGCGTGGTGGCACACGCCTTTAATCCCAGCACTCGGGAGGCAGAGGCAGGCTGATCTCTGTGAGTTCAAGGCCAGCCTGGTCTACATAGTGAGTTCCAGGACAGCTGGGGCTACAGTGAGACCCAGTCTCAAAAAGACCAAAAATAAATAAATAAATAAATAAATAAAGTAAAAAAAAACATCAGTTAAAAAGGTCCTTGCAATTTCTTACCACCCAAGATAACCCACTTAGCTGTTTTAATGTACTTTTCATTATTTTTATGCTCATTGATACTAATTAGATAATTTTATTTATGTCAAGTTTGTTCCTGATAATGTGGTGTATTTCTAAGCCAATCTATTTAAGATGAAGATGTATTGTTTTAAAACAAAAGTATAACTTAGTAACTATTTTGTCCTTGTAGACTTATGTGTATGCTGTATGTCTTTCTGACAGAGAGAGAGAGAGAGAGAGAGAGAGAGAGAGAGGAGAGAAAGAATGAGCAATGGTATAGAGAGAGGTGAAACATTTATGTTTTCATAACAGCCTTTTAGAATAATGATATATGTCATTCTAATTGAAATCTGTTATATGTCACCACTATGTAATTTGATGAAGCAGTTACTCTTAACCCTTTTCAGGTTATAGAAAACTCAAGTTCACTCTGGAAAACATTTCTACTCTGTCTGTTGGCCTGTCTAGCCGCCACAGCCATTATGGCTCTGATCTTTTATTTTGGCCCCTTTGGTAAGCCTACCAGCAACACCACCATCATCATTCATACAGATGGGAAGTCCAGTCAGGATCTCTGCACCTCTGCTCCGACAACGTCTCCAACTGCATCACCTCTAACTGGATTGCAGACCACTTCACCTTCTGCTCCTGTGACCACCCCGACCTCATCTACCAGCACACCCACACCTACCACCATGACAACTACAGCTACAACTCTGGGTCATGAGGCTGACATTGAAGAATACTGATTTTTGAACACTTAGTCTTCCTAAGGTCAGCTCAACACTCTTACCTAAAAAAGCATGTCCAAGATTTTGATCCCTGCCATGACATTCCAGAGCAGTGGCTTTGTGAGATCCAACTCTTCTGGTTTAATCTTTGATGCTGTCCATATGATGATGACTTAATTTGGGCTCATTGTATGAGACTGAGGGCATATGGTGATGACTTAGTTTGGGTTCATTGTATGAGACTGGGGGAAATAGGGCATCCTCAGTTACTGCCATGTTCAGCAAATACTTTTATCTTGAGTGTATGATGAAGGGGCCCAAAACTAGGACATTTGGATAAGAGCTATCTGGAGGGCCACTGACTTCTTCTGATGCAGTCTGGGAACAAGGGCAAACTAGTGTTCTTTAGAAGAGGATATATTTCCTGCATTTACCATAAGCTATTCTTTGCCAGGCTGGCCATGCAAGGACAAAGCCAGCTAAGCTAATGATGTCACTGCTCATACATTCTAACCTTTAAAACCCTTCTCCTTGGGATAGTTGTGGGTGGTCAAGGAGTACCATGGAGGGAACAAGGTCTTTCCTTACATGTAGTGGCCAGTGGACATCCAGGGAGGATAGCGCTTTGGAAAGGAAACATTATTGTCGGGGCACTGTGGGGGATAGAGGTAGTATTTGTTTAGCCGCTTGGGTGTAGGTGACCACTGCTTGATTATTTTTTCTTCTGTGATCATCCCTGTTTTCAAGTTTCAAAAAAACTTTAAATCTTGCATGGCAGCTCTGTGTTTTCTTTGGTCTCATCACAGCTTGATTGTGGATGATAAACTAGACATGTTCAAGTGATAGGAAAAGAAAAATGTCAATGGGCTCTGGTTGATTTATCGAGGTTAAAGCAAAGAGTGTTCTTTTTACCTTGCCTGTACTTTCAGTCTTATATATTGCAGTAAGGACTCAAATTGGCAAAGAGGCTGCTGGGAGGGCTTCATTCAATACTCTTGCTTGTGGGTTCTGAAGCCACTGTCTTTTATGGAGTATTCAAGGAGAATTCTTTCCTAATCTCTTGCATTCCACTATTTTTGCATATCTAGGCCAACAGGGAGAAAAATAAATGTTCAACTGAAGTGATTAAAAACACAGTTTATTAAATACCTACTGATCTTTACAGAAAGGCTCCTTCTATTTGGGGATTTAAAAAACTGGTAATCAATGAGGAATAAACAAGAAATGTTTCATAGATGGATTGACAAGTATCAATGTTTGGATCAGGACAAAAAATGAGATTAGAACAAAAAACACAACAGTACGATAAAATTAAAAGCAAAAGCACACCTGGAAAGACTTCAACTAGAAACAAGGGATATTTTTACATGCACCTATACTTTCTCATACTCAGTATCTGTGGGGACCTAAAGGCCCCACCTTGCATAGGTCCTAAAGGAAGTTACTGGGGGCACGCCTGGCTTGCTTTGAAAGTCTGAAGAATACTTCCACACTGCTGAGGAGTGCATGATCAGTGCATGACCATCCTTAAGACACACCCTCGGTGCGGGGGGATGGGGGGGTGGGGGTGGGGTGTTCCAGGTGCCTTTATAAGCTTTGTAACACCTGCAATAAATGAATCCCTACTTGACTAGGCTCCCCATTGCGCCTGAGTGTTCCTGGTACTGGGGGCGGCATGGGCTGGTGAACAGCCCATTTAATCATCTCCAATCATCACTGCATGGGGGTCACTGGTTTGAACCCCCGCAAAAAAGCACATTTAAAAATTTTTTATATGTATGAGTGTTTTGCACGCATGATGTAAGCACATCACTGGAAGGTGAAAAAAAAAAAAGAAAGAAGTAAGAAAGAAGAAAAACGGATTGGGGCCAATCGAGGAGGTTCAGGGTAAGCAAGACCCTAAATATGGGTAATGAAATTTTTAAGTTTGAAGACCCAGCACTTAAAGTGCTAAGAGATATGCTTAAAAGCAGGGGATTGGGTTTGTCAGATCCTGTAGCTCAAAAGGTTTGGGCAGAGGCGATTGGCTCCCTGGCTACTTGGGGCTAATGTTTTTACTGGGGATACTTGGGAACATGTGGAATATGTATTTCAACAAAGGGAGGTTCAATTGGGGGTTCTACCCTATTATTTTGGCCTTAAAGGCATTTTTTTTTTGCCTTAAAGGCCTTCTTTCAGCCCGAGAGCCCTAAGCCCTCGGCGCCACCTCCTGATGAGCCTTCAGAAATCCTGGCATGGGAATCATGGGAAGGGTTTGAGGAAGAAGGCAGAAATGCAACAGAAATGGAACCAAAAGCGGCCAAAGTAATAAGCAGCACCTCAGGCATGCTCTGGCCAGCTTCAGGGCTTTCTGAAACACATGAAAACCATCCCTATTTTCAGGATTCTGGCCCTGCTCAGGAAGCTTCTGTGAGGCCACGGGTGGAAGCATATCCTATTAATGTAAACCCAGGAGGTGCACGCCCTGACCCCTGGTATCCCTGGGAGGCAAAGGATTTAAAGGAATTAAAGGCAGTGGCTGAGGATGGCCCAGAATCACCCTGGGTAGATACTCTCCTCCAAGGCTTGGCTCATCAGACAAAAGATTGGTTGGACCTCACCAAAGCAGTCCTTCCTAGCCCTATATATATTAAATGGTGTGCCCTCTTTAAGGAGGAATGCAGGATACAGGCTGAGAGGAATGCAAGTGCCAATCCACCAGTCCCCATTACTTTTGGGATGTTGACTGGCTCAAGTGACCATTATGCCACAGGGGAGCAACAGTCTGGCATTCCAGCCCCATATACAGAACAGGTCAGGGTCATAGGATTAAACGCTTGGAGAAAATTGGATGAGGGGCCTACCGAATCCCCCCCTTGCAGGAATTAATCAAAAGCCTGTTGAACCCCTCTATGAATTTATAGACAGAGTGGAGAAGAGCTTAAAATGAAAATTACCCCCAGGCCCATTGAGGGAGCAATTTACTAAACTCTTGGTATGGGACGGAATGGATGCTGATCACAAGATAGCCTGTGCTGGCCTTAAGGACAGGCCCATGGAACAATGGATAATTGCCTCCAAGGAGGTGGGAACCCAGAGGGGGCAAACCAAAGCCATGGCTGCTGTCTTACAGACACAAACAGAGGCTCTAACCCATGCCTTAACCCAGGCATTTAATTCACTTAGTCTGGGTCAGCAGGTAATAATGGGGCCTAGAGGGATAGAAGGCCCATGTTTTGGCTGTGGCCAGACTGGCCATATTAAAAGAAATTGCCCTCACTGAGAGAACTGGCCTAAGCCTGGGTATCAAAAAGACCCCATCTATGCCTTGTCCCCGGTGTCACAAAGGGCTCCATTGGCAAAAAGATTGTAAATCCAGATTTGATATTGAAGGAAAGCCTTTAAACTAACTAGGGGCAGTCTCCAGCCCCATTGACAAAAGGAGGACTTCCCCATGATTGGCTACATTTACAATGCCCTTGGGGAGGGATCAGGAGAGGAGAAAAACCTATGGCAAATTGGACAGTCCCTATTATCCCTGGTGTAAGGCCCAAGATGGATCTTGAAATAGGTGGCAGGAGGTTTTGCTGCCTAGTGGACACAGGGGCTGATAGAATCATTCTTAGAAAGGAAGAGGTCCCATCACAATGACACCTAGTTTCTGGGCCCTGAAATCTAAAGGGGAGGTATGACCCCTGGTGGCGGCAGGGTTATCCACCAACCTCATAGGACAAGACATTTTGGGGACACACAGGCCTGCATAACCACTGATAGCAAGGCCTTTTATGATGACCTTTTGGATCTTGAAGAGTCTGATAGGCTTCCTGAGTCAGCAACTCAAGGGTTGTCTCGCCATATCAATTACAGGGGGGACCCAAAGAAAGAGCATTGGGTTCACCCCCAATTCTAAGGGCCACTGCCTCTCAGGTTCTGGCTATCCAGTGGTCCCCTGGGGTGCCAGTATGGGTGGAACAGTGGCCATTACCTGAGACAAAGCTACAGGCTTTAAAGGAAATTGTACAGGAACAATAACGATTGGGCCACATCCAGTCATCTGTAAGTCCATGGAACACACCTGTCTTTGTTATTAAGAAAGCCTCTGGCAAATGGAGAATGTTGCAAGACTATGTAAAGTCAATGCTAGAATGACCCTAGTGGGTACACCCTTAAGGGGGCTGCCTTGGATCCTTGCTATTCCCTCAGATTTATTTCTTATAATTATAGGCATTAAAGATTGTTTTATCTATCCCTCTACAACCCCAGGATTGTGAGAAATTTGCTTTCTCTGTACCTTCCACCAGCTTTAAAATGCCTGATGAGAGGTATAAATGTACTGTTTTAGTCCAAGTTATGGCCAATAGCCCAGCATTCTGCCAAAGCTATGTGAAGACCCTTTTGGGGCCTGCTCACTTGCTGCCACATGCCACTGTGTACATTTATATGGATGATATAATCTTGGGAGCTCCAAGCCCCCAACAATTAGAAGAGTTATATAAGGTTACTCAGAAATGTCTATAGACAGGCAGACTCCATCTATCTGCTGATAAAATACAGACTATTGCTCCCTTTAAAATTCTGG